TTCCACGTGTTGGTGGTGCTGCTGCCTCTCCCTAAAATAGCTGTGCATCCCCATCTGATCTGGACACCTCTCCTTTTTCTGCCCCATAGGACCCTTGGCACCTTGATCTTTGCAGTTATCACTCGAGATTTTTTACTTGCCTTTCTCTCCAACTAGGCAACGAACTTCTTGGGATTATATCCTAGTCAGCTTTCTAAATCCTCACTAGGACAGTGCCTGTCACATAGTAGGTACCCCATAAATATTCCTTGGATGGATAAGTGAACATATGGAGACACGAAGAAAGATAAGACACAGAGGCCGGGCGCGGTGTGGCTCACGCCTGTAATCCTAGCTCTCTGGGAGGCCGAGGTGGGCGGATTGTTCGAGCTCAGGAGTTCGAAACCAGCCTGAGCAAGAGCGAGACCCCGTCTCTACTAAAAATACAAAGAAATTAATCGGACAACTAAAAATACATAGAAAAAATTAGCTGGGCATGGTGGCACGTGCTTGTAGTCCCAGCTACTCGGGAGGCTGAGGCAGAAGGATCGCTTGAGCCCAGGAGTTTGAGGTTGCTGTGAGCTAGGATGACGCCACAGCAGTCTAGCCCGGGCAACACAGTGAGACTCTGTCTCAAAAAAAAAAAAAAAGATAAGACACAGAGCCCCTTAAGCTTTTCTAAGCCTCAGTTCCCTTATCTGTAAAAGGGAACTCCTTTTGTATAGTAACTCCCTTCTGGGCTGGGGAAGATGTGAATAATACATGTGGAAACTGCCTAGCATACTGGGTGGCACCTAGCAGACACCCATCCCGCCTGTTCTGCTGTATGGCTCACATATGGTTAACGGTATCTTCCTCCTGAGCCCACCTGCATCTCCCTGTACACTCTGCTCACTCATCAGAGCTCTGTCCTCCAAACTATGTAACAAAGTAATGGGCCCCTTACTGAACCACCCATGTGTGAGTCTTGGGTCTGCACCTGAGAGCTTACTAACCCTCAGTTTTCCCAATCCAATGACCCCATAGCCCCCCAAATCCAGAGGATGCTTTAGCCTCAGCAGTGAGGCAGTAGTAGCTGGCAGCCTGGCTGGCCCAGAAAACAGGATTTAATTGCTCTGCCTGTCAGAGCCCCAGAACATCCTCTCTGGTTTTCCTCCCCAGCCCACCCAGCTCCCATTATCCCCCTCTGACCAGGCTGAGGTCCTCTCCCTCAGAGCCACACTGACTCCTCCCACCCCACCCACTGGGAGCCCCAAGGCCTGCCTGGCAATGACATCTGTTCTGCATCTGGAGTTCTGTGTCAGGTCTGGCTGCTGAACCTCAGAGACACTGGAGGGAACAGGAGGTGGGGGGTGGGTAGGTGGGAGGGTGGATCCCAGAGCCCAGATAGACCTACTGGTGGGGGGAAGGCCCAAAGCTGATAACTACTCATGAGCTGGGATTTTCCATCTCTTCAGAAGAGTGGTGGGAAGGAGTGCAGAGAGGGTGAACTTGGGTATGTACCGAATCCCTGGAAAGGGTGGCTGCTCCAGCCTTGCAGTACAGTGAGCAAGAGCCAGGAGACTGGTTCTAGCCCCATTTCAGTCCCTAACCGTGCAACTTTGGGAAGTCACTCAGTTTTCTCATCTGTAAAGCACACTCATACTAAAATTACTTCTAAGTTCCTTTCAGTGCTGACATTCAATGACACTCTAATTATGAGATCGCTTGCTTAACTTGAAAGAGATACCTTAATGAGAAAAGAAAGGAAATGCTAATTTATATAAATGTGTGATTAATTATGAAAGTACATACAGGATCGGTGAAGGTTTAAATAACTTCTAGGCCGGGTGTAGTGGCTCATGCCTGTAATCCCAGCACTTTGGGAAGCTGGTGGTGGGGGGGCGGGGATCACCTGAGCCCAGGAGTTCAAGGCTGCAGTGAGCTGTGATCACATCACTGCACTCCAGCCTGAGCAACAGAGCGAAACCCTGTCTCTAAAACTAAATAAATAACTTCCGGATAAGATTCACTATTAAGAGAAACTCCCAATGTCTGACCTAATTCCTAACCTCCAAGATGGGGTCAGAGAGGGCCACCCCAAATGACTGAGACTGGCCTCTGAGCCTCTAGGCTGAGAAAGGGATAGGGAGGGGGGGGTTCCCAAGTGAGGAGAAAGTTCTCATGTTCTCAGAGCCCTCCTATCACTGACCTCTAGGTACCCCACCCTCCAAATTCTGACTTGGGTGTAAGGGAAAGCCCCACTTTCTTGCACGCGGTGAAAACAGCTCAGCTTTCCACCACTGCCCTCATACAGGAGTCCCATTCCTATGAATGGCTCCTCAGTCCCTGACTCAACAGCCGTGTCGGGAGGGAGAAGGGCAGTCACTGGCATCACCCTAACCCCAATACCAGCCCTTCATTCTGCCCTGTGTTGAGGTTACTGAGAAGTCTATTATTTTTTACTTTCCTCTCCCTACAAACTCAATCTTCAAGTCCTGCTGATTCTATTTTCTTAATATCTCTGCAATCCAGCCACTCTGGCGACCTCAACTGCCACTAAGGTAGTAGCTACCATCCTCTTTTCCGGATTACTACAACAACCTTCCAGGGAGCTGGAGCTTCCTGCCTCCAGCCCCACCCAATCGATTCTCCACACTGGACAGAGTGAGATGATGCAAAGCTGATCTTAACACCTGCCAAGGGCTCACTGGGATGCTCAGGCCAGAAACCTCGTCTGGGCTTACAAAGCCCTTCATGAGCCGGGTTTGGACCCGTCTTCAGCCTCCTCCCTTGATACGCCCTGACTCCTGTTCCATCCTTTCCCCACGGGCCCCACACCCACTCCTTGTACCCTAAACTCCAGCCAGATTTAGTTTCATTCATGATCTAAACTAAAATCACCTCCGATTCTCTGGAGAATTTTCTTCATTATCATTCTCCTTGCACAGGGCTAACGGTCCCTCCACGTTTAGCTCTGTTATTCATCACTTTCTCCAGAAAGTCTTTCCTGACCTTCCTAGATTGGTTCAGGAACCCCCTCATTGTATTTTCCACATCACTGTACCAGTGCCCCCACCACCAGAGGGAAGCTCTGCGCCTGCCAGGGAGGGACCAGGTCTGCCTCCTTATTTACCATATTCTTGGCACCAGGCACATGCCAGCCCATAAAAAGTGCTCAGTAAATATTTGTTGAATGAATGAATGACCTCCCTACAGATCAGGGTTGGCTAGTCATAACTCTACTGCAGTGTCCCCAGGCCTGCTGGGCTTTGCAGACTCAAAGGAGAGGTGACCAGAGAAAGCAGAGTAGTAGCTGTGGCTATTCACCCAGCAGCCAAGAGGAGCCCCGACTCGGGTCCTCCCCTGCCTTGTGCACTCGGGAGCAGGGAGAGGCCAGGTCTGCGAAATAGGGAAGCTGAGCCCCTTGCCGGAGGCCCCGACAGCATTCGGTAACGCGAGGGTGCGGTTCCCTGCCCTGATTCCACTTTGCTGGGTGACCCTGAGCTTGTTCCTGGAGCTGTTGGAAGAGTGGAAGGGGGTGGGGGTACGACTATTCCTTAATCCCCTGGGCTCTGAGAGGACAGACGCCTCTCTGGTACTTCCCCGCCCCTTTCACCTGACAACCCCGGGCCCCAGCTTCCAGGGCCCAGTCGCCCAGATCCAGCCCCTCAGCGGCCTCCAGCCCAGTCCGCGACTGGGGCTGGAAAGGGGCGTGTCTTTGCAGGGAGAGAAGGGTCCGAGCAGTTCCCGGCACTTTCCCACCCGCTGTTTGGTTTTCCTGGAGGTGGGCCTGGGGCTGGCCAGGCGGAGGCTCCTTCCCCCGCCGCCCTCCCCGCCTCCCTCCCACGTGGCCTGGCTGAGTCCCTCTGGAAAGCCGCAGCAGCTGGAGAGAAATCCCCCTCCCCACCCCCACCTCCAAGTCCCTCCCCGACTCTCCCCGGACACATCCTCAGCTCCCCCCTCGGCAGGGAAGGCGGTAGGCGAACAAAGCGGGCAGCCCATCCCCCTCCCAGCCCTACCACCTACCCTCCCCAAGGGCCGCCCCCAAACGCACGAGGGACCGAAAGCGACAGGGCTGGGGGTGGAAGAAGGAGCCCTAACACACACACTTGGGAACTCTGTCATCCCTCCCCAGCCCTTTCTCCAGCTTGGACAACTCTGACTCTTACCCTTGCACCCACTCTGCACTGAGGTGCAGGACTGGACGAGGCCTTGCTGACCTCGTCCACGCTTCCCTGCTCGGCTCCTGGGGGGGTGGGTCAGGAGTGACACGCGGCCCATCCTGGGCGCGAGTGTTGGACATGTCCGCGAAAGCAACTGGTTTCCTGCCCCCTCCCCCAGTCCACTCCGGCCCACGGTTTTGGGGGAGCAACACATCCCCCCACGCCGCCTCCCCACCGGCCCGAGAGACCACACCCACTGGGCAAAGTTGAGTGTTGTTTTATCACCACCACCCCCAGTCAAACCGGAATCTACTGCTCTGTCCCCCCACCACGGGCAAGGACATTCCCCCAAAGCCAAGGCCAAATATTAGCGAAGCCCCATAAACGCAATTACACACGCGCCCGACACAAATGGAGGTGCAGACACACACCCCAGTACGCTCCTCTTTCACACATGCTCTCAACCCGGAGACACGCGCGAGCAAGGCAGAGCCCGCCCCGCGAAAGCCACCAACACCGCAGCCCCCCGCCCCGCCGATGCCACGCCGCGACCGTGGCACGCACTGCGGACACGTAACGCCCGCAGGAGCACACCCAGCACACACACGCACACACACACGCACACACACACCCCGACTCCAGACTCTGCAAACCAAGGACACACACCCCCTGTGGACAAGTACGCGCCGCGAACGCTCCCCGAGCGCAGCTCTCAGACCCCCACGCGCGGGCACCACAGGCGCAAGGACGCGCAGCCCGCGCCCCGCAGCCCCCGCGCTCACTCGGGACCAGGCACGACGCCGGCCCCGCAGCCCCGGGCGCGGACGCACCGACACAGCGCAGCGCTCCCGCCACAGCCGCGGCGCCCGCCCTTACCGCGCGCGGCCACCAGGCAGAAGGTCAGCGCGATGAGCCCGCGGCCGCGGCGAGCGTCCCCCCGCGCCATGGGGCCGGGCTCGGCCGCCGCCGCTGCCTCCCGCGCC